CCGATCAGCTGGACACGATAGAACAGCTGGTATGAACCACTGATCAGCAATATAAAATCTATAAAAATCTAAATAAAATCTATACTAAAATCTGCGATTGAGAATCTTAAAGTATAAGAAAATAGAAAATAAAGTATAATATATACATATATACACAGAAACACGAAAACCCCGCGTCCACAAAACATATATATATCCATTGTATATACGAGGGCTCGAAAAAGAAAAAGAAAAACGTAATACTGTACCATTACTAGCCTATCTACGATACATAGTATCCATAAGACTCTCATATAATTCTCGTACGCTCAACTGTTTCAATCACCCAGTGCATTAATATTTCTTTATTTTATGTTTATATTTGTCTATATCTTTTCTTTTTATCATTTTTCTCGCATAAGCTGATAACCAACTAATAAACAAGTTTCGGTGTGAATGGAGTATTATTAAGCTTTAAAAGCATATTTACCAGCACTCCATTCCAGATGGGCAACATCAGAAAACTTATTTGCATCTGAATTCCAATCCTATCTATCAGGCCGAAAATGAAGGTCAGAAACCCAACGACCATTCCAAAAGCACAGAGGATCGTGAAAACTGGTTTGGAAGCCATGAATGACGTTTAGAAAACCAAAAGATTGACCCAATCAAGCGCCACAAGAACAAAGTGTTTAGTTTTAATACTTCGTGCAAGGCAGGGATCTTCCCGAATTCTCAGGCATTCCAAGTATGAAGCTCAGGGGGCCTGGGTTGGACGCGGCGCTTGAAGCATCCGAGCGACAAAACTAGTACAGTTGTCTGAGGTAAAATCGATTGTCGAGTGGGTTCACTCCAGAATTTCAAAGCAAGTGTAAAGCTGCATCTTATAAGGCCAACTTAATTTATCTCGCCAATTTCACCTTTAACAAACTTTTAATTTTCAACGCGAGAAGGTACCGGAAGCCCCCCCCAAACGCAACCAGACTGCAAAGTAAACGCGGCCAGACCCAGACTGAAAGTGAACGCGGATAAAGGATAATTGCCTTGAGAATCGTTAAAACAACAGTGCAGATGTAAAGCCATAAAAAACGGCATTTTTGTAAATCGTTGATTGTAGAGAGCGTGCGTTCTAGCACAGGCTCCCCGGACTCTCGGTTCGTGGATTGGGTGATGGGCTTCCTGTGGCACGTGCAGTACGTGCGCACTGATTGGTCGAAAACCGTGCTTTATTAGTGAACAAAGCATAGTAGATCCTGCGACCGTCTTTCGTTTTGCGTAAATAAATTCAATACCGAAAAAAATTAGTAGCTTTATGATAAAACGAATAAAACAGCTTTTTTCCRTTGTCTATTCAGTAATAAAGCACTTACGAAGCGCCGTAAGCACTCAAGAAGTGTGAGACGCACTTGCCTACGTCTCGTGTGTCACTTCCTGCGTGCTACATCACTGAACGGAGCACGGAAAAAGCTGTTTTATTTGTTGATAATAATTGAAAATTGATAGAAAATTGGCGAAATATGCTCACATTTCTTAGTTCTTGTTGCCAGTCTTGCCGCAGAATTTTGGATCATTTGCAGCTATCTCAGCTACTTTGCAATCTCTTTGTCAGGCAGTCCATAGAGCCCATAGAGTAAGCTGTTACACTGGTCAATTTTCGATGTGATAAATGTATGGACAAGATTTTCGGTGCTGGGATTATCAAGGTATCTTCTGATTTGATCTGTTCGTTTTAAGATGCTGATTTACAAAGTTGGTTAACTCGCAGCGTCATTTGAAGGTGCCGGTCGAGTATTGTTCCCCCGGGGGGGGGGGGGGGG